AAAACACACCTCTGATTTGTGACTGTGAGAGGAGGAGCCAAACATTCACAAATTTATAAAAGGTTTTGGCTGATAGGCTCATGGCTGTGAATCCAAGCGACAGTTGGTAGTTGGATTGTTGGAAAGATTCTCTGGCTCTCGTCTTCTCCTCACCAGTCACCCCTTTACACACTCCATTATTACTATGTTTATGTAAGTGAAAAAAGAGTCACAAGAGAGAGAGAATATATATGTATTGTCTGAACATGACTAATGATCCATCCATTCAATTTCCAAGTGGCCCTTAAAAACTTTACCTCCATTGATACCCATCTCCCTATCCAGCTATCCTCCGCACCTTGCTTTATTCTTCCCTCCTTGAGTCCCAACATAGCCAAATAACCATGCTAGCGAAAGAAACGGGATTCTTGTAATTAGTCTGTCATCGTCGTTGTTTGGTATAGACTGAGCTTGATTGGAACAATACTAGGCAAACGAACATGGCTAGTGTAGGAGGATGGAGCAGAGAGCAGGAGAAGGCGTTCTAGACTGCAATTGTGATGCACTGGGCTGCTAACGACTCAAAAGATCGATGGGAGAAGATTGCTTCCATGGTTCCAATTCAGACTATAGCTGAACTGAAGAAACACTACGAGGTTTTGGTCGAGGATGTAGGTGCAATTGAGTCGGGCCAAACCCCGATTCCCACTTATGTCAAGGAGGAGGCTGCCAGTAGCAAAGATCGGCACCTCTTTCCTGCTTCTGCTTCTGGGGCTGCTGATTAGAGGTTGAACTGTAATTTTGGAACTGGGTTTTTTGGGTTGGGCACTGATTCAGGCAGGGTTGGCATTGGACCCAACTCAAGTGGGTTAAATAGGTTTTAAGAGAAAAAGGGTAAAAAAAGAAAATAAAAAAAGTTTAGTGGGATATTTTGATAATTTAATGCATTCCGTCATCTGACTTAATGGTCAAGGGGGGTTTTTGTCTCATGATCATAGTACAGGGGGGTCTTTGTCGCAAAACAAAGTACAAGGGGGTCTTTGTCACAGATCCCATAGTATAGGGGGAGTCTTTGTAATTTACCCTTATAAAAAAAGTGTCTTGAAATGCATCAAAAAGTCAGGTAAATTTAAGGTACTGTTTGATTCATGGGAATAAGGGATCTGTAATCATAATCGAAATGGGCCATTCCGATACCAATGTTTGATTGGGCAGAATAGAACCCCATTTCCATTCCTGGTGGATTGGCATTTCCCCATTTGAAGGAATGGCCATTCCCTCCCCCTCCTTTGGGAATGAAATCCCATTTCAGCTGATTCCAATTCCTGCTTGAATCAAACAAACTATGAAAATTGACCATTCTGATTCCGATCATGAAGAATTTCAATTTCAATTCCATCTCTAAACCAAACAGACCCTAAAATAATGTTGAAAAAGTGGAGGGGAGTTTCAAATAATAACCCAATAAACAATTTCTTTCATTTTCTTTTAGGCTCTGTTTGATTTATCAGAAAATAAGTGAGAAAAAGAAAGCTGAAGTTGTTAAGGAATATTACTTGTTTCAGGGCAGGGATAGGACACTATCTAGAAAGTGTGGGTTGATTTCAGACAGTTGTGAAACACCAAGTGATCAAATATAGATATACCACTACAAAATTTATCTCAACCCTATTGTAAATTCAATACCATTCTTTTGTTCACAACTCAAGACCCACAAGGACCCGCCGGGTTAAGCATAGCAAAGGTAAGGCTATACTAACCGAAGCCAATCTTAGTTTGGCCAAGCCTATTTATTATGTATACCTCATTTTAGGTTCAAGATAAGACAAACTAACCTTCAGAAAGGTAGCCTCAAGATAAGCCCAGTCCTTTCGTATCCATGTATCAATCCTCTTTTGTAGTCATTATAGGGTCTAATAAATTGAAAGCCTCATTTGGTTCGTGGGAATAGGGATTTAGAATTGGAATTAGAATGGCCTATTCCAATTTCAATTAATTAGTTTCAGAATCCCGTTACTATTTGAGAGAATGCCATTCCCTGCCCTTTCATTGGAAATGAAATCCTATTTCTGCTGATTTTAATTTACATTCTCATTCTTGTCTGAACCAAATAGATTATGTGAATGACCATTCTAATTTTGATTTTGGAGAATTTCGATTTTAATTTCAATTCCGATTCTGACGGCAAACCAAATTTAATTTATTCATCAATTTGATATACAATAACTACCAAAATAATCACTCAAAAGTGTAGAAAAGGATGATGAAAAGACAAAAAAAGTCAATGAACTCCGAAATTACTTTCCAACTAGTACATTATTACACATTCATCATCCATGACTGCGGGTATGACATATATAAGGTTGAAGAGTACAATTCATATGTACTGAGTTTCAGATCAAACGTAATATTGCTCCAACTGGACATCCTTCCCCTTGAGAGGTACATACTCTCCAAGGTAAACTTCAAGATGATCCGCCAAGCAGGACTTATCTATGTTCTCATGGTGATACGACTTGCAGACGAAGTAGATCACAGTTTGGACGACCAGACCCAGGAGAATCAAGAAGAAGAGCAACATGACACAGACGATTCCATACCCAACTCTGCTCGCCACACCCAGTGACCACCCATGTACAACCAGCTTCTCAAATGCAATCTGAATTAACAAAAATGCCAGATTAAACAACAGGACGATTGCACCAGCCACCCACATCTTGCCCTTGATCAAGGCTTTGCTCTTGATCATGGCTTGAATCCCATAACTGTCTTCCAGCACAGATACCACGCTCGCCAGGTGCCACACGACGGTGATGTAAACCAACCCAACCAAGTAGACAACCAGAAGAATCAGTAGAACCGCCGCTCCGGCAGCACCGGCCGGTCCGACAGCGAAGGCAATCAGGATGACGATTAGCAGCGCGACCATGTTGTAAGCAAAAACGATGATGAAGTTCCACAAGAAGGTGACCATGAGCCTTTTCCAGACCTTGGGGACAACGCTCATGATCTTCCTGAAGGTGATTTCCTTGGCGGTGTAAACGCAGGCAACCATGTAGACGACGGCCGACGTCGAGAGGAGGGAGAAGATGAGGACGATGAGGAGGTAGGCGGCCTTGAATAACCAGAAGGCGGTCCATTCGGAGGAGAGGCGGTCGAGGATGAGGTTGTATCTGGGGCTGTCAACTGGGGTGGTGTCTAAGGAGTCCTCGTTGCGAAGGATCTTTGCGAAGAGGAATTCGGATATCTGGATATGAGCTAAGAAGATGAATGAGAGAGGGAGGATGAGAGATAAGGTGATCTTGGTGAAGATCTTCGACCATGAGCAGATAATCTTGTAGGCTTCTCTGTAGATGCCAAAAAACCCCAGGAACTGGAGCTCCTCTGGTTCTGTATCCATGGTTGGTTGAGGAATCACTCCCTCCTTGAGAGGATATCTATTACTGGGAATTGCAAGAAGACGGGATTAATCGGAGATGTGAAGAGAATGGAGATGTTGGGGGTGATTATTTTACTCTTAAATTGGATAAGGGCCATAGGGTGCTTGGACTTTGAATTGTCAAACAGCCCCTGGTCTTCCCTTGAATTACCAAATTAATTGAAACGTATTCTTGGGGGCAAGAATTCTTTTTTTTCTTTTTGATAAGCAAAGAAGTAGGACAGATTTTTTGAATGAAGAGGGTATGTAGGGATCTGGCCATCTGGAGGGGTGGTCCAGTACTGTATCAGTTAAGCAAAGGGAGTCAAAAGCTTGGTTAGAGACCTGAAACTTGCCATTTGCCTTTCCTCTAAGGCCCCGTTCCTTTCTCGATAAATAGAGGGGCTTTTGCGGTTCATACATTGGTAGTTATGGGTTCTATGGTAAATCGATTTCTCTACAAGTATCGTAAGTGGTGGGCAAAAGTTATCAAAACTTTATTTTATAAAATTCTCTTCTAATAATAAAATTTATGGATAAAAATGGCCAATTGTTTTAACTTATCTAGATAAAATCCTAAATTTCAAAATCGGATCAGACTGGATGGTTGGACCAGAAAACTCAGGAACCAGTCATATAATAGGTTCTGTTTCACCCTAAAATCATTTTCGCCAAAAACCATTGGTTTGATCAATGACCCATTGGCCGGGTGGTTAAACCGTTGAACCATTGACCCGAACAAAGGTCTTTGGCCATTTTTTATTATTTTTATTTCTTTTAAGTCAGAATGGGCATTCATTCAAACTGATTGGTTGGACCATTCAACCTAGGAACCGAACCAAAAATGATTCTTTATCTGGTCCAATTTTAAAAACCGTAGATAAAATTGATGATAAAACGAACATGAATAAAATACATATAAATGATTTACGAAGGAGACAAGGAACGAATGAGGCTTAAATGATATTAAATGGATCCATCATTCCATCCCACAATGAATAATTGGAGATTAGTAAAGCCAAAGTTCTGTTTGAACAATTAACATCTCCAAGTTTTAGTTTGGCAAGCCTTACTATGATGTGGCAAAGCTGCAGAAGGAAGATAGGTTTCTATTATTTCTTTTCAAAACATCCTAGAATTTAATGATTAGAATCATATTCAACTAATAGGCAATACCCAAATTCTCATGAAGCTGATGTGGGACATTGAGCCCACATGTGGCTAGTCTAGAGGGACCCAGAACGATGGACGGTCGAGATTTGATTGACCTAACTTTGCCTGTTGACTGGTCGTATAGCCATGTAGACCGTCCATAGTAAGATAGGATAGAACATTTATAACCATTTGGATTTTATTAGCAATGGCATGCTTGTAATTGGAGGAAAGTGGGGGCCTTTTTTTCAGAAATACGTTAGAAGGCGGCAAGAGAAAGACTCGTCCATTTTGACCAGGTAATCCCCCCGCGAAGGTGCTGAGAACGTTCTGATATTCTAGTCTGACGTCTGGTTTTGAATTTAAAATCCGACGTTGAGTCAACACGCCAATATTGGTTAACATTTATGTTTTAAATTACTAAAATAACCTCAGCATCTTCTAGATGGCCAACTATGCTAGAAGTCAATGTCTTAGAATTAGAAAATCCACACTTGTGATTCACTTTTTTCCACACATGGAGAAAGGATAAGCTAGTAAAGGAAAAACAGGAAGCCAAAGAAGAATTTAAGATGTGTAGGTAAATCCATTATCCATCCATGATTTAGGCTGCGTTTGGTTTGAAAGAAGGGAAAAGTGGGTAAATCTGTATAAACCTTATTACTTGTGATAATTTAGGGGTCATTTGATAATGGTTGAAGTTGCAGAACTGAAAGATTTAGTTGCTTTATCCAATTTTAGTTGTTAAAATTTTAGTTGCAGAACTGAAAGATTTTAGTTGTTAAAATAATTAAACAATAAAATTTTCAAGGATATAGTGGTTTATCCAATTCTAGCTTTCGTCATTAAGGTGCCCACATTCTCCTTAAAATCTTATTCACTAAAAGACAAAATGATAAGCTTTTCATTTCAGCATCTTCAGCCTTTATCAAACAACTCCTTACTAATTGCCTAATTTGTAGAATTTATCCGCAAACTTGGTTGACAGAATTTGTTATATCCTCGTTTTCTTGCCAGGAAGCCTTTAATTTTTGTGTGTGAATAAAGGCATCTTGGGTCCCATAATAGCAATTTTTTGAACTATTGTTGACTGGATGGTTGGACCATTCGGCCGGGAACCGTTTAGGCAATCGGTTTTATTTTACCCCAAATTCGATCCCTAGCCAAAAACCATTGAATTGGTCAGTAACCCGCTGACCCAAGAAGTCAAACCATCGGTCCATTCAACATTTTTTGGCCATTTTTCCTATTTTTCCTATTTATTTTATTTCATTTTTTATTTTTTCATTGAAACAAGCTATCTATTCGAACTGAATGGTCGAACCATTAACCCAGAAACCGATGGACAGAACGATTTTGATTCTGATCAGTTCTGGCCTTGGTGGTTTTGGGGTCGATTCCAGGGGGTCTACCCATGGAACCTGTTCTTTCCTTACTCCCCCCTTGAAAAAAATACCATGTTCTTTGAAAATGTGATTTTCAATAACGACAATATAGTTTAAAGCTTATATTATCTTTATTGATCGATTAAATTAAGTAACTTAATATTTAGATTATCATTATAGGGTTCAAAACTTATAATTTAAATTTAAATTTTGTAAATATTACGTTTTACATTACTTATTGTACACATTCAAATATTAAAATGAAAACAAACGATCAAATAACTTAAGTAAATCAATGGTCAAGTGAGACCATGGCCTTTGTAACCATGATTGTTTGGGTTCAAATCTTCACATTCCAAAAGTATTTTGGGGTTTATATCAAGCCAAGTTTGATTCCAAGGCAAGTTCGACCAAGGTCGGTTCATCAGATCAGTTTGGGTAGGATAAACCCCTAGGCCCTAGAACCAGCATGGGTGAGGGTTGGTTCCAAGAATTTGGAACCAGTCTCCCTACCCTATAATAAATTGATTAGGGTCGGTTCAAGGCCAATTTGAAGTCAGTTCCTATTTGGTTCCAAGTAGAACCTACCCATTTTCTCACCCCTAGTTCCAATTAATAATCAGGATAATCGGGTCTAATAATTATATCTGATTATACTAACATTTATTATTATCTATATTAGTAACAACTCAAAACATTATATTTGATAAAATAACCTTAATAAAAGTAATAGTAAAACATTAAATGTTTATATGTTAATAAATCAAGTTATTTAACCAAAATTTTCTTATATATTATCTAACAAATGTAGACATAAAATATTAAATATAATGAAGATATCTAATAATCAGTTTGAGTGTTAATCGGTTCAATACAAGCAAGAACTAAGAAGAACCCAATTATTAATCAGAACAAAATCATAGCACCCAAACCAAAACTATTGCCCAAAACCTAGAAATACATATTCTAATGGCACTCAGAAATAGCAACCAAAGCAAGCAAAGAGGACAAAAATGAAAGATAAACAAAGATAAAGAAAAGAAAGCAAAGAGGACACACGGAATTTATGTGGTTCGGCTTATAGCTTATGTCCACGGGCAAAGGAAGAGCAAAAATCCATTATGTAATTTATAATGGAGAGTATTACAGAGTTATGCACTCACAACCTCATACACAGAAAACACTAAATCCCAAATACACCTAAACTCTCACATTTCTCTCACAAGACAAAAGGCTATGTATACAAGAAAAGAAAAACCCAAAATACACAAAAAGCCCTGGCAGCCCAAGCCCTATGCTTCCACCACAAACCACTATGAAATTTTGCCATTGGATTTTTCTCAACTTAATCCAGAGTTGGTTCATTAATCGAGTCGCAACAAAAATTCAAGGAACAACATAACGAAAACAAATCCAAAAACTAAGGGGGCATTCTACAATTAATGTGAATTGTTTTTCTTGTTGTAGGTTTCAAAAAACAAATCGAAACCACCTTGTTTGAAAACAAATTGTCTTAAAAAAAACACAAGTAGCTTATTCTTGATTGTGTATATATTTTTTGTTTTCAAAACTAAATACATGTTCTTGAATCTAGTTTCAAAATTATGTTTTTATCTGATTATTTAACATTATTTTCCATAAATCATATAATTTCTAATATACTAAAAATTTTGATTTTATTTTAAAAACCAATATTTTATTGATTCCAAAACCAATTTGTTTTTTTTTTCTTTTAAAATTAAAAATAGAGTTAAAGAAAATGTTTTTATCTTTTTCCATGTAAAAATAAAACAAATGAATTTATGTTATATAATGCCCCCCTTAGTTATTGCATTAAACTAGGAGATAAACTCAATTTCCCAATTGAGTCAGATACAAACCCCAATCCCATACAAAATAGTGCTCTTAGAAAACCATTCACCATCTCAATGCCAATTGTCCGTTCAAAAACCAACCTTTTGCATATTCAATGACGATTATGGCATCAGGTCAGCCAAACCATTCACCACATTAAGGTGTTTGGTTCTATAGGTGTTTATTCAATAAACACTGCCAAATAGGTGCCACTTCAGCAGTTCTCTTTTCTTGTTATTCCGTATGCATCGAGAATGGAAAAAGTGAACTTTGGTTTTTGTGCACATCTACCATTTGGGGAAGTTATTTTTTAAAGCTTCTATAAAGGGTTAGGCATTTTTTTCACTGTTACACTGATGTGGTGCCTAGTTGTCATAAACGGTTGTAATTATTACCATTCTCGGTGTTACAAGAAAATAAAGTACAAATGTTGAATGAAAAAAAAAATAAAACGTAAACTGAACCAGACACATAAAATGTTAGTCCCCAATTCAATGGTCTAAATTTTGGGGGGACGAGTTCGCATCTGTGAACCCAGCGTGAATCCATCAATAAGAAGCTACCATGTTGGCATTTTGAATTTCAGTTTTA